AAGGGAGCGGGGCCCCTCGGGCACGGCCGGCCGGACCCGGCTGTACGGGCTGACCGCTTAGCCTGGCCTGGAGGAGAGGTTCCTCCCCGTTCCCGGGGAACGCGGGGCCCGGGGATTCGCGCCTGAGCCGTGGACCGCTCTCGTCACTAAATTTTGTGTAGTTTTGGAAGACCCCTCAGGAAGCGGTGTTCACCTCCTCTCGGGTCGTGGCACCTCCTCCCGCTGTACCCATGGCTTCCCCCAGTTAAGGGCCCGAGGAACGGCTTCTATGCTGTTAACTCTGGAAACGGAGGAAAATATCGCCCACCTATTAGTGCTGTCCTTCCCTCTCTCGGAAGAGCAGTCCTAATACTGTAGCTATTCCAGAGTGAAGTCTATATTGAATAGAGACTATAAATGAGGAGGATTCCCAGTCCGTAAAAGTGTTGGTTGAATTGGAGTCTAATTCAGATTCGAGTTTTTATTTAAGAAGTGTTTCATAGCTGAATCCTTCATTGTCTGTACTACCGTTTGGAAGTGTTGTGTCCTAATTCTAGAAGAACATAGTTGTGAACAATATGAACTTTGGTTTTGGACTTGAGTCTACTCTGTGGCTCCTCATTTCTATGTCATTTGGAAAAATTATTCATCCTAAAGTTACGTCCCCGTGTCTCTGAAACAAAGACAATAGAACCTACCTTGGTTATAAGCATTAAGTTAGGTGGTGAATGACAAATGTTTACCATAATGCCTGGCACATAGAATATACTCAAATGAGGATCTGTTTTGCTCATTACCACTAATTAGCACCATTTTTACCTAACCCAGGTGTTTTTAATAACGTGTTTTCCAAGAATGTCTACTGCACATGTGTCAAGCATATTTCAGCGTTTATTCATGAGCTCCTATCAAAAGTAGTCTGGTGCTCACCACAGCTGAATTATAAGGGAAATGGGGAAATGTTAGTCCAAATGTACAGACTTTTAAGTTATAAAACAAGTTCATAGAAACCAATGTACAGTGTGGGTTTTATTTAATTGTATCCATTATACTATGTATACAAAGATCATTATACAATGTATACAAAATCTTCATACTGTACACCTTTGATAAATAGATTCGTCATTGTCAATTAAATATTTTAAGATTTTTTTTAAAGTAATCGAATACGCCTTTTAATTTCTTTGAGAAAATCTCTGAAGGCCTATACTCCGAATACCTAAGTTTCACTTTGAATTTTTCTTATCATTCTCTTGTACCTTTTTTTAAGGGGGTAAGGTTGTGACAGGGTCTTGCTATATAGTTTGGGCTGGTCTTGAACTCACTAAGTAGCCCAGGCTGGCCTCAAACTCATGGCAATCCTCCCGCCTCGGCCTCCCAAATATTGGGATTACAGGTGTGAGCCACCCAGCCTTTGTACCATTTTTCTAATCATACACAAATTTGATAAAATCTTGGAGCGAGAAAGAGAATTTGTAAATCATCACAGTGTTGTGCACATAACAGTATTAGTCTTGTGTGGCTTTATATTAAACACAATCAAAGAATTCATTCTCTGCACTTGATTCAGAATCACCTGTACAGTGTGTCCATTTCTTTTAACCATCTTAAGAAATGAAGTCGCTGTGTTGTAATATGGGAGCAATCTGGTTAATCCCTAAAAAGGTCAGTATATTTGAACAAATTTTTACTTTTCAAAAAATCACTTTATTTTGAGACATAAGGTCTAGCTGTGGTGTTCAGGCTGCTCTCCAAAGTCTGGGCTGAAATGGTCTTCCTGCCTCACCCTCCTAAGTAGTTGGAACTACAGGCATACACTGTGGTAGCCTGCTATAATTTTTGCATTCTGGTGGTTCTGTTGACTTTGGGCATCATTATTAACAAAACTGGACGTAGAAGTGTCATTCAATGATAGAACACTTGCATAGTACATGCCAGGGCCAGGGCTCAATCCCTGGAGAGGGGGAAAGAGAGACATAATTTATTTCATTTGTTCTTAAAAAGTAGAGATTGTGATATTTTAAAAATTGATATCCATAACTTTAGGTCTCTAACAAGTTGTGAAACAAACTTACATTTGACAGTTTACTTAAGCTCCTTTAGGTCACTGTCAAAATTTCTCCCTGAAATGTTACTTCAGTAGCACCTATTGGCACTAAAATGCTTTTGTTGATTCTCAATTAACTTCACATTCAAATCTGAATTCTTCAGGCTTGGATTCAATATCTTCAAAACTCTCCATGTCCACTTTTATTTTTTTTAATGCACCCTTCTCTTTTCTTCTCCATTCTCTCTGGTTCTACAGAAGAAAGCAGAGATTACCTTGATTCTTTCTTTGATTACTGTAGATAAAACTACATCTATTCATATAAAACTGAATAGTTAAAAAGCAAAAGACTGAATTAAATTGACCGTTTGGCCAGTTAGCTCGCATGCCCTGCACAGGCTTGTTCCTGCGTGGTACTTCGACGCACCACCTGAAATGCTCATGGCTTAGGCTCTGAGAAGTCACCACCCCACCAGAAACACTTGGAAGACTTTAGACCTCTGTTTGCATGCACTCCTGATGCTTTACATCTCTGGGCCCAGATAAGTTGATGGCACCCAGTAAATAGTTACTGAATATACTAAATCTATAACTAGTTTTTCTTCCTGAAATGCTTTTACCTAGTAACTGTCCATCTTCACCTCTCAGCTCATCACTTCCTCTAGGGAACTTGACTATACCAATCCAGCACTGTACCCTTCATAGCATTTATAACCTTTCCCCTGTAGTACTTATCATAGTTACACCTGTACATGTTTGTGTCAGCATGGATATCCACTTCCCTCAGTGCACTCTCAATAGCAAAAATAGCAGACACTTATAGTCCATTACAACTCTGGGTCAAGCATTGTGCTGTACCATTAACCGTTTCTTAGGCTGAAATGACTCTGTGGGGTAGGTACTATGAGTCCAGCCTTACAAGTGAGAAAAATGAGCCACAAGGATGATAAATAACCTGCCCACTACTGTCATAGGAGTAAACATTTAAGCTTGGGTGACGGTGAGACAGGGTCTTGCGAAGTCTCTAAATTGCCCTCGCCCATCCTGTGTTTGAACTTGAGATCCTCTTTCCTCAGCCTCCCAGTGCTGGAATTACAGGTTGAGGCATTCTTGGAACTTTTTGTGTATCCCAGGCTGCCTGGAACTTTAAGTAATCCTCCTGTCTCAGCCTCCTCAACCCTGGGATTACAGGCCTGCACTACCACCACCCTCTGCTCAGAGCTGGTATTTTAACCTAAGCTATCTGGCTCCAACATCTAATAGTTAACTTATAAGTATATCTGTTAAAATCGAAGCATTGTTGAATATTTCAGAAAGCTTTTAGAAATCCTTGGCTGTGCATGGTTTGGGTATTATAAGGAAAGTGGGAGATTACTTGCCTGTGGTAGATGGGAAAGAAATGCTGTACATCCTCTGTACACGGGGCTGTGTGAGAGAAGCAAGAAAAGGCAGAAGTGGAGGCAGATAGAGAACAGATGTTTCTCCAGTTCTTGATGACTTCATCATATTTGTTATCTCTTTTGCCCTTCACAAAAATACTATGAGGCATTATTCTTATTCTCACTCCATTCATAGTCCGGCTGGCTTTGAACTCCCTATGTAGCCTGAGCTGCCCTAGAACTCTGGATCCGCCTGCCTCTGCTACCAAGTCTAGAATAGCAAAGGTGTACCACCCTACACAGTTTATTCTCTTTTTTACAAATGAAAGACCTGTGACCCAGGGAGGTTAAATACCTCATACCAGGTCACAGAAGCAGGGACAGATGCATTGTGGGAGTTGTCTAGACATACTGTCAAGGGTGGGGAGGAGCAGAGTAGTAATTCACCTGGGACCATATCACAGGCTGTCCCTCCTCAGCATTCTATTTCTGGCTAAAGACAAGAGTCCTAAAAAAGGCAGAGCTGTGTTCTGCATCTGCTACTTTTAGACTACTTTGGTATTATTTGAATTATGTCCAAACGAATATGGTTTTTGACATGGTTTAGCTGTAACATTGATGCTATTTCTCCCATTGCAAAAATAAGCCAAACTACCCGTTGGCTGCTCTTTCTCTGCTACCCAGACCCTTTCTTTGCTCCCTTTTTCTTTTACACCATATTTTCCCAATTTCCTGACTATCAATCTTTTCATGTCCAGTTTTTGTTCTCACCAGTTCCCAAAGCTTCCACATTGGCCTGTTTCTATGGTTAATTCTCAGGAACTACTTGATTTATTAGCTATATTTAACACAATTGCTCACTGTCTTGATTTAATGGTTCCCAAAAGTCTTAAGGCAGCTTAAGCCTTTGCAAACTTTAAAAACTCAAAACTCCCTTGAGATGCTAAGGAAAGCCTTGACTGTCTTAACATGGCTTCTAACTGCCTTAGCGTTTCCACCTGAATAGCTCTGTAAGCTCTTAGACTGTGTCCCAGACCAAACTTCTTATGTCCCCACCACACAGTACCTACACCCTGCTCTCCTCCCAACTATTTTTATCTCACTTGATGGCTGCTTCTTTCTCCTAACACTCAGGACAAAATTTTGTCAGTATTGAATCCTTCCTCTCGAACGCTGCATACACCTACCAAAAAAGTCTGTTGGCTTTACCTTCAGAATAGGTCCAAGTGTCCAGCTTACCAGCCCTGCCATCACCACACTGTTCTGAGCTATACCATCACCTCTGTACTACAGAGTCCACCTAAATGTGTACACACTTCAGGAAAAGAAAAACTTGTATAAGTATTTTAATACTAAGTTGAGATAAAAAAGTTACCGTTAGCCTCTACAATTACAAAAAGTGCTCAACGTGCTGACCATGAGCTTCCAGACATTTATTAGTCCAGCATACTGCTGCTTGGGTGACCTTGGCGTCGAGATTGCTGCACATGCAGTTTCAGTTTCTTCTCTAGGAGCTGGCAGTGTAGTGGGTTTTCTGCCATACACAACATCCTCTAGCGTCCAGCATAGGAGGTAACACCATCTATTGAATAAACATCATACTGTTTTGCTTTTCCTGAAGTGTGTATTCATTTTTTGGTAGATTCTTTCTTTCAGAAAACTAATCCCTGTTTCTTCTGCTGTGTATTCCCAGCATTGAGAGTGACAAGTGACACTGTCACTACTGTGCTCAGTCTTCCAGTGGTTCTTTACCTTGTTTGGAGTGTACCTGAAGGTCTTCAGTGGCTGACAGTTTCACCTCATGTCTTAACTACCCTCAACTTTGCTCACTCTGTTACTCTTCCATTGGCCCTGCTCTGTTAGAAAATACATCTTTCAATGTCTGCTTGACCAACTCCCTCCCCTGCTTCAAGTACTTACTCATATGCTGTTTTCTGGTGTGTTTTGTAATTGACGAGTAATAATGGAATTTATTTAGAAGTGCACTGTGATGCTTCACATGTATACGTGGCTGAATAAGTAAATCGGGTTAATAAACATGCATCACCTCAGGGACTTCTTTGTGATATAAACATTCAAAGCTTGTTACTTTAGCAATTATGAAATACAAAATGCACATTTTACAGTAACTGGTCACCAGAACTTCTTCATGGTGTATTGCAGAAATTTTGTATCCTTTGATTAGCATTTCCCTGTTGTTCCTAAACCATCCCAGCCCCCTCACCTCTGACATCTGTCATTCCACTCTTGTTTGTTTGTTTGGAGTTTTTTGGTACTAGGGATCAAAGTCAGGACCTTGTGCTTGCACTTGCAAGGCAGGCGGCGGCACCACTGAGCTAAATCCCCAGCCCTCCACTCTTTTTATTAGCGAGTTGTTCAAATTCTACAGCTAAATGAAATCATGTGCTCGGATTATTTTTCTGTGCTTGGATTATTTTACTTAGCATAATATCTTCCAGATTCATCCATATTATCAACAAGTGGCAGGATTTCATTCTAAGACTGGATATTGTAGTTCTCTGTTGTGTGTATATACATGTTTTTCATTTGTTCAGCTGTGGTGGGCACTTCAGTAATGTTCATGTTCTGGCCATTGTGATAATGCAGCAGTGGACCTGGGGTGCAGAAGTCTTTCTGACATCCTCATTTCACTTCTCTTGGCTCTAGACCCAGAGTGGGATTGCTGGATTATACTAACTACCTTACCTCCTTCAAGTTCAGAGGTTCTGGGATATGTTCTGGATGGCTGAGATTTCTAAATCACTGATCTTTGTTAGTTTACTTTGCTTCTTTTCATGTGAGACAGTCATAAAAATCATAATTTTTAAACCTATCATTACTGATATCTCTTAAAATGGCATATCATGAAGAAATGGGAGCCTATGACATCTATTCCGAGAATAGTATTTCTGACTATGCCAGAGGGTCCCTGCCGTTTCTGTCACTTCCAACCTGAGCTAGCCACTTGATGCATCCTTGGAACTATTTTTAACCCTGTGTGTCTCTGAGGCACAGTCAGAGACCAGGCTAGATATATCACTTTCCACTGCCAAGAGGCTTGCAGCCAAGATGGCTTTTGCTAAAAATAGTTCCCAAGCTAAAGCTCTGTTGTCCTTACCCAGATAGGATTCTGAAAGCTCCTTTCCTGTCTATTCCCACAACTCAGGTGAAAACAGTACTGCGACCATGGTGAACATCAAAGCTGAGTTTTGGGGTAGCGCAGCTGTGGTTATATAGGATTCAGGTACAGTATTTGAATTTAAATTGGAGCTCAGGGTCTGACTACAAGTAAGATCATTGCCATCCATTGTGTGTGTGTGTGTGTGTGTGTGTGTGTGTGTGTGTGTGTGTGTGTGTGTGTGATATTTAATTTTTTCCTTTAGATTATTTAAGTAATCATATTTTCCTCCAATTACATTTCCCAGGTGAGTCAAATGGAATTAGTACCCTTTTTTTGAATGTATACCACACTCCATTTAGAGGAAGAACTAATATTAAAACTTTATTTTCCTTTTTGATTTCAGAGAAATATCGGGAATTGTTAGAAACAGGAATCAAAATAATCGATAATGTCTGTCCCTGAAGAAGAGCTGTGTCACCACATGAAAGTAGTTGTCCGTGTACGCCCTGAAAACACAAAGGAAAAAGCAACAGGATTCCATAAAGTGGTCCACGTTGTGGATAAACATATATTAGTTTTTGACCCCAAACAAGAAGAAGTCAGTTTTTTCCCTAAAAAGAAAACTATAAATTTTGATATTTCAAAGAGACAAAATAAAGATCTTAAATTTGTATTTGATACTGTTTTTGATGAAACTTCAACTCAATTGGAAGTTTTTGAGCACACCACCAAGCCGATTCTTCGTAGTTTTTTGAATGGATATAATTGTACAGGTAATTTTTTTCAGTTTGAGATTTAATTTCTCTATTTGATTTCATTTTTACATGGGGAGGGATTTGTACTTTGTCCTCCTAAATACAGTCAAATTTAAGGCACTTGAATACTAAAAAGTTTTAGAAATGAAATAGACTACCTTTAAGGGTAGACTTTCTATGTCACTTATGACATAGTCCTTGCTGTGGCTCCTGAGGATAGTCCTTTCACTTTCCTGTATTTTTAAACCACTTACTGCTTGCAATTGATGTCTGATTTCTCATCATTTATATTCATACATAAATATTCCCACTGCTTAACTCTTTAGTGTCTAACCCTGGTGAATAGTCACACATTGCTGAATACTTGACAGTTTCGTTACAGCACCATTTTTCTTTACCTTGAAATAACGCTGTTAAAACTCCATTATAATTGTATTATCTGGTATTATTTTAGCATATCTTCAACCCAAGAAGCATCTCTAATGCTTTGGAGAGGCTGTAATTTGCCTTCCAAAAAGGCCATATTGACTTCCCAGAGAAAGATGTATGCCAAATGGCCAGTTAATTCAATGATTAAAATTACAGTTCAGTGATTGAACATCATCATTAATATCTTACTTTTGTAATTCTCTATTTTTATACTTTCCACAGGACATTCCACAGCTATAACATAGTCCATCTCTGAATCATTTTATTTTTATCACAGGTTTACCCTCCTGATCAGTTACAAATAGAATATGGTCTATTGATTAGAATTGGTATGATTCTCATTTTAAGCATGTTCTTTTCCTTTATAAAATTTCATATTTTCTCTAGGAATTTTTAAATCTTTTCTTTTTTCTTGACTCTAAAATATCCAGATGTCAGTTTACATAAAATAGAACAAAGTAAAACAAACTGATAAAGTATGAGAACTTAAGGCCTTAACTGATTATTGTACTGGGTGCTTGCTACTTATAAATCAAAGAGTAGATTATTTTATGCATTTGAAGACATGTATGACTTTTATGTTATACTGCGTAGAATATTGGAAACAATTTGTCTAAAATGAGGATTTTTAAAGGAATTTTATGAATGACCTCTATCTGGAATTCATTTGACAGACTTGTACACCTCCTTCATGTCAGGTGACGCGGGACACTGAGGGCTTCTGTGGTGGTGGAGCTCACAGCTGGATGTCCATTGTGATACGGGCTAGCATAGTGGGGTAAGGGTTGAATGTAGGAGTAGACTGGACTGCCTGTGATGATTGGGAAAGGCACAGAAAATGACTTTTGTGCTAAGTGGGAACAGGTGGTACTGATTGGGTTTAAAGTTACCATTCAAGATAGCCAGATGGAAGTGTCCAGGGGACTGTGGATACAATAATGTTATGTGTCATAACAAAGAGCTTTGATGCTTTCATAAAAATTTAGTACTTGCGTATGGTGCCACGGGAGCTGGGAAAACCCACACGATGCTAGGATCGGCTGCCGAACCTGGAGTAATGTACCTAACAATGCTAGACCTCTACAAGTCCATGGATGAGATTAAAGAAGAGAAAATATGTAGCACTGCAGTTTCTTACCTGGAGGTAAGTTGGCAATATTTTTTAGATTAATCACTATTTTTGAGAAATCTTCCTTTGAGTTAACATGGCTCATTCACATTACAAACTTTGGATTGCGGATGACCACGTGGTCCAAGAGTGTTCTGCATGACAAACATTTTAAGAAATTTTAACTTGATAAATGAGCAGTATCTTACAATACAAGTAGTACATCATGTTGAATGTCTCATGAATACTGGTTCTCACTCGCTGCTTTAATACACAAGTGCTTCGAATCATGAAACAAATTCTCACAAAGATTTTAATATATTTTATTGTGTGAGAATTTTCTCAGAAATGTATAAAGCCATTGAAATCCTTGTTTTGAGTATTTTTAGATACTTCTTGCTCTGTATTGGGCAGTTTTTGTGGGGGCAGGACAGTCTCAGACTAACAGGGAAGTTGCAAAAACAGTACAAAGAACTTGGAGATACGCTTGACCAGTACCCCCATAAATTAACATTTCACTGTGTTTGCTTTATCTCTGTGTGTAGTCATTTATTTGTTTCCAAACTGTTTAAGTTGTGAACTTATAAAAAAACGGGAAATATTCTTAAATAATCATTGAATAATTAACAACATCAGGAAATTCATGGTGATATTGTCTAATCTGGTGACCTTAATGAGCTTTTACTAATTATTCTGTTAATGCTACATAATGTATAAAACGAAGATCAAGAGAATTCACTTGTCATACCTCTTTAGACCCCTTTAATGTGCAGCATGTACATGTGTGATTCTTTGTGTGTGACAACACTACCATAGAATCTTCACTTGGATTTGTCACAGTGAGACCCAGATTGCACTGGCAAAAACACCACAGAAGTGAGGTTGAGTTCTCATTACTATGTCAAGATGTTTATGTAGTTGGTTGGTCCCATTACTGACAATTTTAACTTTCTTAATTTGTGTGTATTTGGGAGTTTTTTCTACTCTTTGATACCATTTTATCCATAATTAATAAGTACCCTGTGGAGAGGCAATATAAATATCCTCTTATACCTCAAGCTTATATCTATTAGTATTAGCTCAACTGATAACTCATCCCTGCATCAATTATCATTATAATGGTGATTTTCAAATTCCATCATTTTTACTATTTATTCATTGGCCTTTTACTGTAAAGTAGAGCTTTTCTTTTTGCTGTATAACATCAGCATGGACTCAAGGGTTCTTACTTTATTCAGTACATTAGAATCCCTTTATGTGATCATTTCTTTGTGCCCAAATTATGTAAGATTTGGCTAATTGAGCCTCTGTCATGGTGCGTGTTGTATCCTTTTGATATACCTCATTTCTTCAGGCCCCTACCACTTAATAACAGGTAGTATTCAGCAAATGATATCTAAAAGCAGACATTCTAAGTTCATGTTCAGAGAGCATCTTAGAAACCTGTATGTGTTCACTAGCTGTGTTAATAGATATTTATTTCTGGTGTCAGAAAATTGCTCATATTTTGTTCCCTACTGAGAGGATTTCTTCCAGTGGTGGATTAAAAATCATAAAAGTTGCTAAAAGTATCCCTATCAGTAGATAGAACCTGAAGATACAAGAAGGGTAAAACCCATATTTATAGTTAAGTAGTAAAAAGAAATTTTTCTGAATGATGAAAAAGAGAATATTAGGTTTTTTTCTTAGATTTTTTTTTTAATTGAGGGAGTTTTTGAAACGGTTATTTTCATAAGTATTTTAATCTGCTATTCCTTTATTAATGACAAGGCAGTGACTGATTAGACTTTCCACCAGGCATTGTATTAGAATTACCTGAGGAACACTTAAAAATTCGTACAGTTGTGTCTCACCCCTGATATTTGAATACAGTATTTCTGGGGTGTGGGCAGAGCACCTGTGCTCTGGGAAAGCTCCCAGTTGAGTCCCTTGCAAAGGTCAGCCTGACTGTTCTTTCTCTTTTAGTATGACTGAAGTCAGGGTGGAGAAATGGTAGAAAAGTGCTGCTTATTTGCAAAACAGCTGAAACATTAGCTGTTCACACTGTCATCTTACCACTTGAACTTACCACATTTTAATATCATGTTGTTGACTAGAAGAACTGCAGCCAAGAATTAGAAGTGTGGGCTTTGTATTAGAAGAAAATAATATAAAATAATGTAAAAGACTATTTTTACTTAAATCTTATTGGTAATAATTGTCATGGTCATTTGGTTGGCATATATTAAACTGTATACCTTTAATTATAAAATCAAGTGGATAATATTTCTGTGTATTACTTACAGAAATTACTTTTCAAATATTGCCAAGTCAGGAAATGCAGGCGTGTCTTCATTGTCAGGCAGTAGCATGGGGATGTCTGAACTTCATCCCTGCACTTTTGCTACTTAGGAGACCAAGGGCAGGTCACATGTGAGGGCCTTAGCTCCCTCATCATTCAAATGGCAAAGGATTCCTGCTAAGTAATTGTGTGTTGATCTTAGTGTAACTGAAGGGGTAGTGAGATAAATACAACCAATCATTTAGTGTGGGTTTTCTGTCAACATCTGTTCCCTTTTGTATGTATTTCCAAGAAATAAGAAAAACCAGCTTAGTTGTCTTATCTGTTTTACTGTAGTTCTCAGATTATGTAGTGAGTGTAATGTCTCAAACTGTAACTTCCCACTTTCAAACATTTTCTGGGGTGGTAGAAATTTATAGTAGTATTATATAAAAAGGATGGGAAGAATGAAAACAAGCTGCTGCTTATCTTTAAAGTAAAATTCTGATCACCTTAGATCAGCAGTAGGTGTGTGATGCAGTCACTGTTATTGACATCAAAGCTAAAGCAGATTTTGGGTTTTTTTTTTTGTTTTTTTTTTTTTTTAAGGTGTATAATGAACAGATTCGTGACCTCTTAGTAAATTCTGGGCCGCTTGCTGTCCGCGAGGATGCTCAGAAAGGAGTGGTTGTTCAGGGTCTCTCTTTGCACCAGGTATGTGTTTTTATCCTGTTAGAATAGAAGTGTGGCTATTTGGCCATTGTTTTTGTTTTCCATCTTGAGAAAGAAACAAACTAGTAAATTAAACTAAAATAATTAAAGAATGTCTACAGACATATTTCGTTTGCTTTTAATTAAGTGAACTTTTTCTTCCTGCAAGCTACTTGATTGTTTACTATGTCTTATTTTGTTAAATGCCACTACATTTTTAGTTCAGTGGTGGGACTCTTGCCTAGCATGTGTGAGACCCTTGAGTCTGATCCCCAGTAAGAAAAACAAAAAAGGAAGAAGAGGAGGAGGGAAGAGTTTTTCAGTAATTTCTTTTTCTATGTAAACTTCTCTAGCCCAGATCCTCAGAAGAAATCTTACAGTTACTGGATAATGGGAACAAAAACAGGACACAACACCCCACTGATGCAAACGCGGCTTCCTCTCGTTCTCATGCTGTTTTCCAGGTAATGGGCTGTGAGACCATCATTCTGAGATGGGAACTTAAAACAAGTGAAGCAAAATTGATGGATGGTCATTTTTATACAAAAAAAAAAGCAACTCTTTCCTTGTAGACATCACCTCTCAGTATTCTACTTTGACAATTTTTGAGAATATTTGATCACCAACAGTATTTAGAATTAAGATGATATAAATAAAAAATATGAATTTTCACCTTTATGACATAAAGGATTTCAAAAAATATACAGAATTTATAGATATGGGATGGTAAAATTGTAGTGATAGTGACAGTGATAAGCAAAGTATTCTGACCACTGCTTAGGAATGTTATTTTTGTAGGACCTAGATGTCTCAACCATCAGTTGTGATGATTCCATGTTTTGACTTTGAATAGGTCAAGTGTTATGTTCCCTGTTACGCCGTTAGTCAGCTTTTTGTTGCTATAATAAATGACTTAAGATGATGAACTTGTAAGTGTAAAGGTTGATTTTGGCTCATGGTTTTGGAGATTCCAGTCCATGGTACCTCAATGTACGTGCTTTTAGGTCTGTGGTAAGGCAACACATCACAACCAGGACCTCCTGGAGGGATGGAAGTGTTCATTTATGTCTGGAAGAGAGGCTGGGGCCCTATCATTCCCACTGACCGAAGACCTCCCATTCGCCCTTTCTTTAGACATGGTTCTCTGTGCTGTGTTGCCCAGCCTGATCTCAAACTTCCTGGGCTCAAACCATGTTCCAGTATCAGCCACCGAGTCACTTGTGTCACCAGGTCCATAATAGGTGCTGCCTCTTCCTGGTAGCACCAAGCTGGGTAACAAGCCTTTAACAGTGGGATTTAGGAACACTTAAGATTAGAATTGGCCTGGAGTTATATGACTCAGAGGTAGAGCATTTGGTTGGTATGTACAAGGCCCTAGGATCAATGCTTAGTATCTGCTTTTAAAAGAAAAGAAAGTCCCAAGCATTTTATATAAGGTACACATATAAAAAGTCTTTGTATTTTTCTTAACATTAGCAATTATTTCCAGCATTCTTACATGTCAGTCAGATTTTACCCCATTTGGGGCATGCTTTAGATGACAGTAATATTTTGGTTTCAAAGTGCTTTGAAAGGAAATTGTGCTTCCCTTTTAAATTTTATCCTTATTTTTCCTTGTTCTACTAAAATTTAAGATCTATTTGCGACAGCAAGACAAAACAGCAAGCATCAACCAGAATGTGCGCATTGCCAAGATGTCGCTCATCGACCTGGCGGGGTCTGAGCGGGCCAGTTCCACCAGTGCCACAGGGGCCCGGTTCGTAGAGGGCACGAACATTAACAGGTCCCTGCTCGCCCTCGGAAACGTCATCAACGCCCTTGCCGAGGGAAAGGTGCACATGCTTCTCTCTGTCTGCTAAATATTTTGAAATATTATAGCATCATTTCTAGAAAGATAATGTTTAATATGATTTTATTTCAATAGTCTTTGCAAGTTATTGACAGTTTTTAGATAGTGATCAGACACCTCAGGGAATCTGATCTATCAGAAAGCTGTGTGGGGTTATTTTTGTTTGTTTTTGCAGTTGTACTTTGGCAAGATACTGTTCTTTTTCATTTCCAGTTTCATACTTAAAATTAGCTAAATGAAAATGATTATCAAATTTGTAGTGAATATTGTATGGTACATTCTTATCACTTATTTTGAACTTGTTTAGTTTATAAAGTGACAATGTAATAACTACTACACAGCAAGAATGATAATTGAATTGCCATGAAGAGAAGAAAACATTTTAGCAAACAAAATTCTTTTCTGGATGATATTTTATGTACTGTAAATTTATTATTAAAGAGCATTGGGAAGAAGAACTTTAGATGTAAGCACAATGTAGCCACCTGATAGAATAATGTTTTCTAGATGCTTTGGGGGCATTTAAAAATATTTTACAGAGTACTCACTAGAGCATAGCCTATCTGATAGCTACTGTGTGTATGTGTAAAGATAACTTCCTTGTTTAAATTTGAAATATAACAGTTAAAACAGGCTTAAAATCTTTAGGAAAGTTGTTAAACTATTCAAAATATTATATTTTTATTTACTGTAGTATATATTACAGTGAGTAGAGGGAGACTTTTTAAAAGGGACATGTTACTAAATCACAAGAAATTTGAAAAGTGAAAATTGTTTTTATATTTAAAGTCTCAAATATGTTAGCAGAGAACATGATATAAATACAATGTTGTAAACTTAAGCCATTCATAGCGTGGGATGTTTGCCAGATGTACTGATACTTCATATTTAAATAATGATTTCTGTGGAGTCATTTAAGAGTCTTTTTGAATGAATGTCTTGTACATGTGAAAATCCCATGTTTGGAAAAGCCTGAAATGGTGAAAAGCGCAGTACTACTAGGAGTCGGAGGCCTAGGACTTATTTCTAGCTCTGAATCATCAGTGCATTTTTACTTTAGCTCACGTTCTTCTTTGATACAAAAGGTCCACATTGGATAGGATAAGGTGGATTACATTTAACGTAAAGAATCTGTTTATATATAGAAATTGTACTTTTAAGAATATTTGTTACTTTAAAAACCAGAATTATATCTTTGAGTAAAAAGAAATCTTGAAAAATTAAGTTCTCTTAGAACTCTATTGTAGTTTCAGGTTAAATACCCATAATTTTGTTTGTTTGTTTGTTTGTTTGTTTGTTTTTGTATCCATATTAGATTCTTGTTTAAGGAGAAAAGTAGCTCTGTACTACACAGAATTCTTACTTCTCTAGTACACTTGTACAGGGTGTAGATTTGTTTACTTTTGTATTTGAATTTCTCTTAAAAATGGGACTACTTTAAAGAGACATTTTATTTTCAAATAATTTTAGGTTTACGGAAGAGTCCCTAAGTTAACATACAAAGGTTTTTTGTTTTTTTTTAAATATGTCCTGTACTTCTCCCCTGGACCTCCCTGTGCTCTCTAGGCTAGGTGGGAATTCACGATGCTACTCCCCAGGCCTCCCTGTAGGCTGAGATTGTGGGTGCCTGACCCCACTGCTAACTCTTCTGGGATATGATACAACAATAACATTGTACATTGTTTGCAGCTAGTAATGAGCCAGTATGATACTACATTGTTTTATTATATTCTAAGATTCATACCTAGATGGGGATAGAACTTTTAAATAGGATTTTTATTTTATGTGTTCATTGGATAGTCCTGTAACATACATTATCATCATTTCAGTCACTAGGTATAGCGTAAGTCTGGGCAGAGTTGGGCAGTGCTTAAATTCTAGTGAAGTAGTAGCAGGTTTGCATTTAAATGTGGAAAATGGCATTAAGAATTCTTTTTTTGTTCTTTCAGAAAAAGAATCAGCATGTTCCTTACAGAAATAGTAAGCTTACTCGCTTGTTAAAGGATTCTCTTGGAGGAAACTGTCAAACTATAATGATAGCCGCTGTTAGTCCTTCCTCTTTATTCTACGATGACACATATAACACCCTTAAGTATGCTAACCGTGCAAAGGACATTAAATCTTCTGTAAGTATATTGACGTTATCTTTGCTACAAGAGTACTGGGCGCATATTACAGTATTTATGTAATTCTAATGAAAGTGTTTGTTGGGTTTGTATTTCTATTAAGGAACCAAGGGTGCCCGAGGGTTAAAATTGTCTGCCTAGTTTTTCATTGAACAGTAACTTACTCAAACCTTTAAGCCTCTTGTTTTTGCATATAATGGATACTAGTGTTCAATCTTAGTCTTCAGGGTACTAAAGTACTTTAATACATTTCTGTCCAATCTTTCACATCACGACACATGATTTTTGGGTCACAACCTGGAGTAATCGCTCAAGGCTTTCACACGTGTTGCCACCAAGGGTGATGCTGTGCTGTAGCTGAGCCTGAGCATTTTGTACCTGACCTCTTTGAACGCGTTCATTCATCTCTCCAGGCCTCAGTTATTTCATGTGGAAAATAGCTGTATCTGCCTCTGTTTATAAAGCAAACAGTCTTTTAAAAATAATTATGTCCAGGGCTGGGGATTTATCTCAGTGGTTCCACTGCCTGCCTCACAAACACAAGGTACCAAAAATAAAAATAATTATGTCCACATTCATGACACTGATATGCCAGTTTCTACATAGCTGAAGAAATAAAATCATGAGTGGTTAGGATTTTTGCCAAAGGTCTGGGGTACTTTTTTAAAAAAAAAAAAGTCAAAACATGATGTATGTTTAAAATGTTGGCCCCTCAGATTGGAAGAGAGACTTAGTGGCACTGATGTGCTGACTCTTTTCCCACCCTTCTCTGCAGCTTCCTTTACATGTCTGCAGAGAAGCAGTCTGTCTGTCCTAAGAGAAATATTAACATATCTGTACAAGGTCATACCATCTGAGTGTGCACAGGAGTTTCACACGCTTGCGTATTATTTGCTCTGACTCACAGTATCAGGTGATTTTAGCTCCGCTGTACAATTGCACAAGGCTGAGCTCACTGAGTTTGAGGTACTGAATTCTAAATGGGGTAGGTGAGAGATGGTCAGGGTTGCACTCCATTTTTGGACTTGTGTCTTTAACATTCTCTCCACTATTCCATATATGCCAAGGGCCCACACTATTAAAAATATGAGACATTAGGAGCTAGGGATTTGGCTCAAAGTTTCCACCGCCTACCTTGCAAGCACAAGGGCCCAAGTTTGATCCCTGGTACCAGAAAAAATGAAACATTGTAAGAACTTAGTAAAAACTAGTTACACTGAGTAGAATATGAAAATATCTCTGAATTTCTAAAAGTCAAAGAAAATAGTTCTTATTATATTGTGAATGAATGCTCAAAAATATCTTTTTTCAGGAAAGTAGTGCATATAATTCAGGTTTGTTATTAAAATGCTCAACCTGTCATGGGTCTTACTCATAAGCATAATTAATAAATGATTACCACATTGTCAAAACTGTGACAAAATCAGAATTCATGGAAATCAGATGGTGAGATGTAATGCCATTTGTTCATGTATGTATTCCCAGTCATCATTTCGATCTTTTGACAGCTGAAGAGCAATGTTCTTAATCTCAACAATCACATATCGCAGTACGTAAAGATCTGTAATGAGCAGAAGGCAGAGGTACGTATCCTGTTTATTACACTGTTACTCTAATCTCGCTCAGTTCCTTGTTTATGGGGTTAATTCTGATTATCCAAGGAAGTACTGCACTCTGTGAAAAAGGCACTCTGTCTTACTCAGTAACTTTGCGTAACTGAAAGTTTGCCTTGGCCATCTATAATGGAGTCACGTAACTTGGATTATAACTCATTTTTTCTCTCCTAGATTTTAATGTTAAAGGAAAAACTAAAAGCCTATGAAGAACAGACGGCCTGCCCTGATAAAAATGACAAAGCAAAGTTAATGATTCCAAACCCTCAGGAAAAAGAAATCGAAAGGTAAAAAGAACATTAGTCTCATTTTGAGGAATTTATTGTTTTAAAATTTAGCGGCTATTTCATGTTAATCATCACCATTTGTCATTCGCTGCATGCGTTACAAACAAACTCAGGAATTCAGGGCACCACTGATTGCTCTCTATATTGCACATTTTTGGAAGCAGATAATTTTCATTTTGTTTTTACAGAGTGAGGAAAACCAGGACTTTAGGTATGAGACAGGAGAGAAGTGGAAGCCAGTTACATCACCTGTGAAGCTAGCTTACCTTTAGTTTTGCTCCTATGTTTCTCCTCTAGTTCAGTCATTTGCATAGTTTGAATACGCATCTGCTCCTCTTTATTTTATTGATTCTGTGTAGCACTGCTTACCCACTTACTACATTTAAACTGTTAATTATGTGAAGGAAGATCTCTGACGAGGTAGTTATTTTCCAGACTGACCCATTGTCATCCTGGAACCACTCACTGTTAACATGTCTTGGCCAGTGTCCTGCAGTGTGAAAAATTGTCAGAATGGCTTGGAAGAAAGTTCTTTTGATTATTATGAAGTACTTTGTTTTTCTTCCTAAACTACTGCTAGCTTATTTTTATGTATGTCAGTGGAGCTTTTGACAATGATTAGGTGCATAGTAATTTGGACCCATCACTGCAGCACTCCTTACAAGGAGAGCTAAGGGATGTGCTCGTCCTCACCGCCTGACAGCAGCAAAAACCTCCTCGCATCTGTGCTGGCGTTCCCTTTTTCCTGACCTGTGTTATTTTGCAAACAGTATAAGAAGTAATTACAATAGCTGTTGTTTCTATCAGTGACAAGAATCAGTTTTTTAGGGCGGAGGATTTAGCTCAGTGGTTCCACTGCCTCTCTCACAAGCACAAGGTCCCAAGTTCAATCCCCAATACCAAAAAACAAAACAAAACAAACAAAAAAATAATCAGTTTTTTAGGGCCAGGGATTTAGCTCAGCAATTCTGCCACCTGCCTTGAAAGTGCAAGGTCCCAAGTTTGATCCCCGGTACCAGGAAACAAAAAAGAAACTTTTTTATATGGATTGATACTACCTCTTCAGTGCCAGAGTGAAGAGTTCTGTTTATCCTGCAGATTTTATAGTGTGTTTAAATTATTTCTGTTAATCCTCGTAGCAACCAATTTCAAGATAAAATTGTTGTATTTTATTAGTCTTAAGGTGTTTTTACTTCCTACTAGTTTAGCCTTTAATTTATTGACATTCGTTTATTCCCCTTAATAAAAGTGACATTCTGTAATAATAATTTATTGCCGTAAGTAATGTATTGACATTCGTTTATTCCCCTTAACAAACATGTTTGGCTGTGCTACTGTTAGTTTGCTTTGATCATTTCTTAGTCAAACAGCAGTTGTCAGCGGACAGACAGTCTTTGTTAATGAAAGTTTCTTGAAAAAGAAGTCATCACCTTCTCAAAACTAGAATAATTGCTCCATAGAATTTTCCCGTACTACTTAATCAAGTCTGCTCTATCAATTAAAATCTTACAGGTTACTAAACATTTCTGGATTTGATAGCTTTAAGCACATCCACAACAGGGCTGTTACTTGTGTGTCTCCTTGCTGGGTGGTGGCTCAGGTTAAATTTTATTAATAAAAAGGCTGTTAAAAGTGATTAGATCTGTTTGTAGCATCAGTGGTACGAGTCATGCATGTGCCACTGGTAGTTCAAGCCGGTGGGAACATGTTGGGTCAAATGATTCAGAGGGAGATGGTCTGAACTATGCAATAAGCATTTATTTGGACATTTTTCATATTTAAATAGTTTTTAGTCAATCTCTTAATGTACTTTGCATTTTATTTATTTATTTATTTTTTTTTTAAGGAGCTCTCTAGAAACCTTCAATACTAAATCCTTTTCTTCCGTCATAATTAGTAAACATCACCAAATAAAATGTCTGGACCACAGAATTACAAAATTGACAAATACTTAACTTTGTCCTTGAGTAAATACTTATATAAAAACCAAGAGTTTATCTTTGAGTATAACCTAAAGAGATCTTATCAGTTCATTTACTGGCATGAGCCTTGGTGTAATATGATACAGTGAAATCACAATGTCCGTACATATTTCCTATAAAATATTTATCAGTTTGACAGAACTGCAGTGAAGTCAATGTATTGTGGCTTATATTCATTCCCAGCAGAGTTTCATTAAGAACTACTGACGTAAATTGGCAGTATTTTTACCACAGATCCTTACAAATATATCTAAAATTCTGGCCAGAGAACATTTATTTTTAAATGCACATACTTGATTTTATTTTAAAGGCTTCACAGTTACTTGTTCCCTGAGATATGTGCCTGTGTGTGTCTACTTATGCTGCTACTGCATCTTGACAGCACAGATATATTTTCTGTAATTTTAAAGTATCACTGTGACCAGTGTCTGCTGACCCTGGCAGGTGCAGGATTGCAGGATCATTTAAGCTTCTAGTAGGAGTTAGTCAGCTACAAGTCTTTCAGCATTGGAAGATCTGAATCGAACTCCTCAACTGGGATTCTGCAGATGGATATTGCCCTTTGGAGGGAACAGCTTTGCTTCCTTCACCACCTTGTAAACTTGTATGTTTTGGATCCTGCCGGTGTCCATTGGGTCTTGGCTGAGCTGCAGCGGGGACTGAACCACTGTACAGTGTGTTTTCCCTGTATCTCCTTTGGAAGCTAAAACCTGGTTCTCTGGCTGTCCCTGGGGGTCCGCAGAGCCACCTGTGGTGATGCCTCCCCCTGCTGTTTCTTCACAGTGAGCCAGCCACACCCAGCGCACCTGCTGGATGCTCATGGCACATTGCTTACCGCAACAGCATCCTTTTCCTGCGACTTGAAACAGTGTATTTTTCCTAAGTATTTTTCACATACTGATAGAAGCAGAGACAAAATACAGTACTAATATCAGAGGGCTTGTGATACCTGTATTTCCTACAGTGTAATTATCTTTGGAAGAGAGAAATGAAAACTTAGAAGAAATACACTGAATATTCCTTTCTAAGCATTTTTGTAATAGGCAGAAGTTATTCTGACTTATTCTTTGTCACAAAGTGCAGTTCTATAAGTGGGTAGATATGATTGTTTTTTTTCTGTTTTCCTTTTCTTTTTTTTAATGGTATTGGGGATTGAAACCATGGCCTCATGCACACTAGGCAACCTCTGTACCTCAGATCACCCAACCTTCTTTTATTTTTGAGATAGATCTTATATAGTTGCCTTGTCTAGCCTTGAATTTGTGATTCTCCGCCTCAACCTCCCAAGTAGCTGGAATTACAGGCATGCATCACCATTCCCAGCCTTATTAATTTATTTAAATAAATTTTGTAACATTGATCATAAAATTGATGAGTTTCTATAATCTGTTTTATTTTTGGTAGATTTCAAGAGATTCTTAACTGCTTATTCCAAAATCGAGAAGAAATCAGGCAAGAATATCTGAAGTTGGAAATGTTACTTAAAGAAAATGAACTTAAATCATTTTATCAACAGCAGTGCCATAAGCAAATAGAAATGATGTGTTCTGAAGACAAAGTAGAAAAGGTATTTAACAATATAACCTGCAAGCTTCTATTTCTAAAATTTGACAGCCAAGGTTACTTAATCACTCATTCGTTATGAACTTATGGAACAGCTAGAGGAAATATAGCAGACATTGTTTTAAATGCATAATGTAAACAAGGCAGAAATTTTGATTCCTAGGTTTCAGAAAAAGGAAACCGAAAAAGCACACTCTTTGCTTGCAACTGTTGTGTTTTGGAGGGTTTCTGCAAGTGCTAGCACTTCACGTGCAAAGGAGTTTCCTGCTGCAGACAGTGCAGTGGACGTGGCTTATTCACATATACGCAGTGGCAGCCAACAGCAGGTTCGCTCTCAGGGAAGCATCTCAGCCCCAGAACGCACATACAGAGGACTCCCACATCTCTGCCCCTGGGACCTGAGAGATGGGAGTTTCAGGCGAGCACTCAGTCCCACAGACAAGACGGCTGGGGACCCCACAGTATATCTTAACCCACCCGGTACAGTAAGGGGGAGAAAGTTCTCATTTGAGGACTGTCACTCTCGTGTGCTCTTCAGTGACTGAGGTTTGAAGTTTGAACAGTTAAATGTTAAAGTTTGAAGTTTAATGCATTTTGTTTTGAAAACCCCTAGTGTTGAAAGATTAATATTCAGTATGCCATCGTCACAGTGATACCTCTGGGGAACCTGGCAGGAGCAGTGAGCACAGCCTGAGAGAAAAGCGCTCAACCCTAGAGCCACTGACCTTCCCTATAAGTCATAAAACACCTGAAGTAATTTCAGGGAGAATCAGCAGGCTTGGCATAGGCGACAGAATCCATAAAACTTTAGACACTAGGGCTCTCTCATAGAATCTAAAAATGAATGGAATTACAAAAGAAGGAATGGAAGATGAAAGAAATAAAGACTACCAAAAAAGTATCCAAATGAGAAAAATTTCCAGAAGTGTTTTTTTTCCACTAAACAGTCACTTTAAATGCAGTATTAGCCAGTGTCTTAGCCCTTTACCCACACTAACTCATTAAATTCTCAGGAACCGTGAGATGTGTAATATCCTCCTAATCAGGATAAGGAAATCAAGGCATGTGGCAGTCGTGTTGTCCAAAGTCACACACGCTCCTCGTGAGCTGTGATCTGAACTGTAGTGAGCTGAGCCAGCGCCTGTGTTCTGGTGATCTATGCTGATTTTCATGTTCAGAAGACAGATTAAGGAACAGGCAAATAGCTGAGAAAGTCTCACTAAATGTGTCACAAAGAGGTGGCGTCCAGAGCAAGGTGCTGTTCCCTGAGGACAGACTTTGTGTAATGAGAAATCTTGCGTTCGTCACAGGCGTCCCACAGGGAGACTATGAGAAAGGATGACCTGGTCTAGTGCTGCCCTGAAAAAATGTGAATTCAAGAAGCATGAGTCTGAACAATGTGAAGTCAGGATATGCCCATGCCTGTGAAGCTATAAATTACCAGATAGCAGAGAAGTAAACATTTCAAAAATACTCAATACGAAGGGCCAGGGATTTAGCTCAGCGGTTTGGTGGCCTGCCTTGCAAGCGCAAGGACCTGAGTTTAATCCCCGGTACCAAAAAAACAAAAAAAAACAAAAAAAAACAAAATACTCAGTACATATTTCCAGTTTTGGTGTTCATTAATGAAATGTAGTTGCATTTTCTAAAGTACAGAATACATAGGATACATTAATAGAGACCTGGTTTTTGTTTTGTTTTTTGATGTGGGGCTTCAACTTGGGGCTTCATGCATGCTAGGCAAACACTATACAACTGAGGTACACCCCTGTACCCCATGTTATTTGTTATAAGGCTTTATCATATGAGCAACTACCCGTTACTCTTAGATTGCCACCCCACATGTTTTTTCTTTTCCCACCTTCACAGAAGTAATCATTATGTATGTATAGGTAGAGATACGCTCTATAATTCTTATATTTCTTGGTGTCCAAAAGGCTCTTCCTGTTCTTTCTGCAGCTCTGGGGACAGAAGGCCTCACACATAATCAGCAAGCACTATCACCATGCTACACTCTACCCATGAGTGCTTTTAAATTTAGAATCTCACTTTTTTCTTGCCCTATGAGATGGGGAAGATGTAATATACTAAAAATTGATCATAGAACATTCCTTAACTTATCACTGATAACACTTTGTCAGTAGCTCTTAAACTGTCATCAAAACTAGCTATTTATTGAGTGCAGTATAAGCTTGGTTTTACTGAAGATTACATCTGAAGAGAGAAGAAAAAATAACTTGTCCTCCAGCAGTGTGTGTGCGCGCGCGCGCGTGTGTGTGTGTTTCCGTGTGTCCTAGGGCCTGAACCCAGGGCGTTCACAGCCTAATCAGGCCTCTGCCACAGCCAGAGTGTGAACCTCTGAGGCCTGCTGCTGCGTTTCCACATTAACCTGTTGAACTACATAGTGATTCCCAATATTTTTTGACAAATGCAATGATTTCCAAGTAGCAGAATGTCTCATAGGATTAATATATCATTGTTGTGAACCCTTTTGTGTGGTTCCTGGTGGAATTCTGAAATCTAACCTTTCTTTACATTCTAAGAATTGTACTATTTTGTTTTGATTATTAGCACTTATAAAATAATTTTAGTTGGATAATTCTTTTCCATTTTGTGTAGATGTGCACTAAGTAATTTTTAACAAAGGTTCCTTATTGAACATTTCACTTTAACTATGTGCCAGACATGGTTCAAAGGGCCTTGCACAGATTAACTCATTTAGTATTTATAATAAATCCTTGAGATCCAAAATTATCACGGCACTGTTTCAGGCCACCTGCAAACGAGATCATAGACTTGCGATGCTGAAAACACGTCGCTGCTACCTGGAGAAAAAGAGAGAGGAGGAGTTGAAGCAGTTTGATGAGAATAGCAATTGGCTGCATCAGGTGGAAAAGGAGATGGCGTTCTTGGGACAAAATGGTCACATTCCAAAGGTACACATGTGTCTGTCTGTTCAGAGAAAGTCTGGGAAAAGTGAGCTTTTCAGCTTCTGTTCTTTCTTATTGAATAGATATCTTTGAAAAAGACAACTATGGCCCCATTTGTCTGAGATTTACCTGACTTATTTTACTGTTTTTAACTAAACAAACATCCCTTCTACTTGATACCTAGTACATTTGCCTTCCTTCTACTTATGGTGGAAGAGTTAAGTTACTCTTAAATGTTGTCATTCTTAAGGAGTGCCTTTTATGTGGTAGTGCTTCCATTGAGTAATCTATTTCAAACGACTTAAGGATTCATCAGGTAGATAATTTGTTTTAATCTTGCTATTTTGTGCAAAAATGTTGTAAATGGTGTGGCATCAATTTCACTGTGGCTAAAGAGTATGATCGCATGGAACTGGAAAGAAAGCATCATCTCACCCAGGTTTTAAGTTTTAGTCAAGTAACCTGATCTCCACAAAGGCCTCATATGTGACTCAAGCTGGCATTTGTTTTACCAAATCTGTCCTTAAAACTCACGTAACTTATGCCAGTGCTCTAATCATATCATTCCGGTTTCTTAGGAAGAAGTTTTCTTAAATACATACGGTGTCCCGTAATGTATTAACATGAACTGAGTAAATAAATCCTGCCTGTAGTGTATCTCAGACAAATAGTGTGACATGTTTTTAGTTATAGTTCCGTTGCTAGTGAAGTATTTTGAAAAGAAAAGAAAGAACAGCGGAGATTTTAGACAATCGGTCTTCAGCTGGATCAGAATGGGGCCTTGGACTGGGAAGCTCAAATGGATCATGGGAGTTTTTCTAGGAGGAAGTTTCCAGGCGTAGCTCTGACACTGGCTCAGTTATTCAAACTGGACAACTAAATCCATCTTTTTCATTATGTGGACTGAAACTTCCCATTTAAAGATGCAGGAAAAGGTTGCTGGATTATCATTGCTCTTGCTTCTGTGAATTCACTTAGCAGATATTTCTTGTACTCAAGTCTTACTAGGCTTGAGGAAAGAAATGTAATTTTAGGTTGTAGTTTTGAGCACAGGTGACCCTATATAGATGAAGCTTAGGAAAATGGGAAGATGCAAGATGGTTTGACGATATTTAACAGTTTGCTTTTGCCTAGGGTGATGCTAATAATACAAGCAAGTGTGGGCAAATGACTCATTTCACACAACACCAGACCCTGAACTCACCTGACATAGACTAAGTTATAGATTACCTACCCCAGAACTCTCAAAATCAAGAACATATTTTACCTATATAAAAAATTAAAACTACTTGCACCAGTATAAAATAAGTTTTATTAAACTAATACTATTTTAATGTTTTCTTAAAAATCTAAGAAGTATCTTGCAATATTTTCCCTAGGAACTGAGTAAAGATCTTCGTTTTCACCATTTACACCTCCAGAATGAAGATTTGAAAGCACAAATTAAACACATGATAGATCTCGCTTGCCTTCAAGAGCAGCAGCACAGGCAGACTGAGGAGTAAGTATACGGGTTTACCTGTCCCACAAAGTTTCAGATTATAGACTAAAAGTGGTCAGAATGTGCAAATTTACTCTTCCACTGCCAGAAAATGTGTTTTGTATATGTGGTGTGTATTACTTCCCCTGCCAGCAACAGGGAATCCTCAGCAAGAAGACACTGAGAATATATGAGATGTGATTCTTTACTGGTAACTAATTTTTTATAATGCTTCATAACTTTTTAAAGAGTTTTTCTTTAAAATTTCATTATTTTTACTTAAAAGATGCAACATAGTAAAAATTCAAGAATTTGTATCCAGTGAAGCAGTTGAACTTAACATGAATTGGATTTTTGTGTAGCAATTGTTAATTACTCATAATTCTAGAATGATTTTGCTATTAATTGAAATAAAGTTGCTAAATTTCAAGGGTCCTGATTTTTATGGGATGCTCTTTAATACCTTTTCTGCTAGCTCAGTAGGAGCATCTAAGTCATGTAATTTCAAAAAACAAACTTTTTTTTTAAAAGCATGGCATAGTAGTTTTGTCACCTCAGCTGAGTTAGGCAGCTTGGGCGTCACTGGTGCTCTGTGAAAACGGGACTTGTTTCTCTGCTGACTTCCTCCCACTCTGAAATCTACTCTGTTCTAACATTCTCAATAACTGCTGGTCAATTTCCTACACTTTCGACTTATAGGAAATCGTATTAGTTTACCAGTTTTTCAAAAAGCAAACAAAAGCATCAAGGCACTGTCCTCCTTGGATGGACGCTCCCCCCTCTGCCCACCTCCTAGAGCAGACAGCCTGTCCGTCTGCCAGCACTCAGACCGCCTGCAAGGTTCACGTCACAGAGCAAAAATGGCTTATTTTCACCATGCATAGTTACTGTATCAGACACACAGATTAATGTTTAGGAAAAAGGGATCCCACTCACCGATTTAGGAAATAGGTGACCCAGGGCATCATAGAGACAGTGCGGCGTAATGGGAAGAGCATCAGATTCCGAATCAGTCCTGAACTCTCGCTTCTATGAGCAAAGCATAGATTGCGTTACCTGCCAAGGACCTTGAGTTTTTGTTGAGAGCTGATCTTAATAAATACTCTCTGCCTAGCATTCGCAAATTCTAGGCTTTTCCAAAGGAACTAGCACAAAGCCACTCTTAGCATGCATGACTTCTGGAACTAGAGAGATGCTCCACATTCTGGTGGAAGAGGCCAGCCTCCAGGTCTGCACAGTCCAGCTGGCCAGACTGTGGGTATGGGGTGCACCCTGGTGTAACCCCAGCTCGGCACAGCCTCAGCTCTCTGGGGCTCACTGTCTCGTGACTTATTTCAGCCCTGTGTGGGTAGCCCCGGGATGCTGTTCGGAATAACTGCAGGCTGAAACTTGCAGTTTGGACATTGAGGGCATCCTGGAATCAACCCCAAGGGGTCCTGGCAGCAAAGGTGACAGCAGCACCTCATTTTTCAAGTTCTCAATAAATAATTGTTTCATTTACTTTTAAGTAATTTTTCTCTTTATCAGTACCTTAATACCTGAAGAAGGCTGGTTCCAAAACCCTTGTGATACTCAGGTCCACCCACGCTTAAGTCTCTTCTGTAGATGGTATAGTGTTTGTAATAACCCACATATGTCCTTCTGCGTGCGTTAACTCATCTCTAGGTTCCTTGGAATACTTAATAGGATGCATTGCTGCACAAACAGCTGTACTGTGCTATATAGAAAATCCTAACAGAGGAAGAAGTCTTCCCCGTCCGGTACAGTCACAGCTCTGGTAGGTCACACAGCAGAGTAGGCAAAGGAATCACAAGGCAGGTAGTTCACATGTTGGAGCCAGAGACAGGGAATCTGAGAAGTGAGAAGCAGGGCAGAACACACCCCTTTCCTGTGGGTTCAGCATGGTGCTTATTGGAAACCTAATTCAAGTTTTGCTATTTGTAACTGGATTGGGGGGGATGTTTTTTAATATTCCTGCTGCACTCCTGGTTGGATCCATACATAAGTCCAGAGATGCAGAAGACCAGCTGTACTTGTTACCTGTTTGACAAGTGGAGTTCTCCCCACCAACCCCAGCCAAAAATCTCTCTAAATTTTTACATTCTGGGGCAACGGGCAGTTTCCTTGTATGTTAAAATTAACACCTGGTTACTTTTTCCTACTGCCTTGTCCATACTTCAGCTGGAACATCAGCTGTTAGTTGTCTCAGTGAATCTGAACTGAGCCTTTTGAAGATCGTCGTGTTTGCATCTGCCTTTATAGAAGTGAGGGGCTACCGGTTTAGTATACAAAGTCACGGCTATTTAGGGCAAACCAATACTGTACAGGCCTCTAATACGTGAAAAGATACCATCAGTGCTATTGACTGTCAGTGATATGCAAGATTTTGAGTGTCTTTACAAAGTATGATCAAAAATACAGCGAATGCTGCCACTGTCATCCACCAGAAAGACAGGCTCAAACATCACTGTAGGTCCTCAACCACCTGATTCACAGATCTGGGACCAGGCAATTTCTGGCTCTTCCCCAAACCAAAATGACCATGCAAGGTAAATATTTTTAATTGATTCCGGATATTGAGGTAGCCATGACAACACAATTAATGACACTCAGAAAAGAGGACTTCCAGGCCTGCTCCAGAAAGTGACAAGAACAAAAGTAAATGAAGGGCCGGGGATTTAGCTCAGCGGTTCATTGGCCTGCCTTGCAAGCACAAGGACCTGAGTTCAATCCCCGGTACCAAAAAAAAAAACAAAAACAAAAAAGTAAATAAAGACTATCCAAGAAGAGAGCCAGGTTCTTCAAATTCCCATCCAAGATTGTTTAAAAGTGCGTACTTGATGTATTATGCTTGTCTAGGTTTTCGACTAAACATTTTCTAAAATAAAACAGAAAGTCATTTTAACGATATTCTAATACTGAGTGTTATGTAAAAGAACTGTAAATGATGTATTTAAAAATTAGTGTTTGTCTCTCCTCTCTCATCATCTTCTATACAACAGAGTTCTGAATGCTTTACTTCCAACCCTAAGAAGACAATATTGCACACTGAAAGAAGCTGGCTTATCAAATGCTGCCTTTGAGTCTGACTTCAAAGAAATTGAAAATTTGGTGGAGAGGAAAAAAGTGGTGGTTTGGGCAGATCAGACTACTGAACCCCCAAACCAAAAGGATCTGCCAGGAATTTCTGTCCTGATGACCTTTCCTCAGCTTGGATCTGTTCAGTCTGTTCCTTGTTGTAAGTGTGGCTTTTATTGCTTCAGCTAAACAGTAACATTATTTCTGAAGAGATTCTTTTATATGTCAGTCTGCAGAACAGTTAATTTTCAGTATGCATGGCTAGTTTATGAGAATTAATATGGAAATTAGCTTCAAAGTTATTTCATTTAACACATATCTTCCCAGGATCTAGGATCAATTGTAAAATGAGGTTCAAAACAGCTCTGACAGTGAAACCCATTTACCCGTTTTTGATGAAACAACTTTACTTCCCGTCCTTTAAAATTTACTCTCTATAATACTATATCCTATAACATCTAGTAATGTGTTCTTGTGATAACTAACAGTTACTATTTTTCTTTTAGCATATCACTTTCAGAAGTATGCACAGAATGTGTTAATTGCGAAGCTAGCATCTATAGTCTTAGTTAAAATTAATTCAGACAGTGTAGAATATAAGAAGTAGGATGCCCAGTTTAGCTGTTCCCAGAGCCCCAGACCTATGTATTCTTTTTGAGATAATTAATTTTGTGTGTGTGTGTGTGTGTGTGTGTGTGTGTAATACAAATATCTTTTAGTTGTTTTGTTGGTATTCACATAAAATGTGTTATGTTATACACACTAGTCTGTAATAGTTTATTTACTTAGTTCATTATGAACATGTTTGACCTACTTATGAAGAATTTACCTCCCTTTTTTTTAACGTTTTGAGAACCCAAGAAATAGATTTACCATAATTTACTTAGGCAACATTCTATTGTTGAGCAGTGTATCAAAGAATATACCTGTGTGTTCATATTTGCATGTTTGTAGCTCATTCCTAGAAACTGATTTACTGGGTTGGAGGACAGATTTTTTTTTTTTAAATACATGATATATCAAATTGGTCTGTAAAACCCAAGATGCTGTACAGATTGAGGATACCCAACCCAAACACTGGAAATCTGACATGCCCCAGAGCTTGAAACTGAGCACTGATGTGGGGCAGAACTATTTGGATTTCAGGACATCTGATATTTTTGGATTAGGGAAGCTCGACCAGTAAAGTCCATGCTGCAGATATTCCAAAATTGAAAAAAAATTTAAAATCCAAGACAAGCCTAGTCCCCCATATTTTGGATAAGAAATATCACAGTCTGTTACACCATTCTGTGTAGGAAAGCCTGCTTGTCTCTAAACGCAAATAATAATAGCACCAGTGGGAGCATGTCTTTCCAAACTGGTAACTTGTGGCTTACTGGTGAGATTGTTTCATCTTCTGTTACATAATCTTTTTTTTTTTACTTGAGTTAGGAGGATTGTTTTATTGGTTTTATAGTTATGTTTTTGTGTGTTTTGGGCTAGATACTCAGCATACCATCACTTGGTTGATTTGATAATGCTTTCTCTGTGATGTGCCAGTACTTTAATTATATAGCACTGTTCACTTTTATAAGCGCCGACCCATATCCAGGTCGCATTGTGGCGTTTTCCGGGCCAGGGCACGGGCTCTTGAAGCCATTGTGTCCTCTTTGCTGCCAGGTTTACTGACCCTTCCTCCTGACCCCTGGCACCCATGAGCACCCTCAGGAGACGTGGCTGCTGCTGCAGGGATCGCCTCCCTGTGCCTCCTGCCTATACTGCCAGCGCTACAGGCTCCTTAGCAGCCATCACCCTCGTGTAGATGCTGTGTGTGTTGTCAGGCTCCTGTTGTCTTCAGAGGAGCTCTTGGTCTGAGTTAACCACATCTTTGTTACCAGCAGAAGACCTCTATGTTATATTTATTTATATGGTGATGGGAAGTCGGAAACATTCCATATAGTATGTTTTTTCTCTTTAATAAAATTGTCATTCAGCTTGATCTAGTTGAGACCTTTAGAAAGTGAAGGTGTTTTCAGATTCTGTTCTATCTTTAGGGCCTGTTTTTTTCTTTATGATGGATTCAAGATGTTGGAGAGGAAATAGGGTTTTAGCACCAAGACTGAGAAATACTGGCCACCTGCTATTTGGTGGTCATTATTTCTTATTTAAAAATCCATATTTCATGGAGATTGTAATTACATAGACTATACTTTTCAGCAATAAAACCTTTATTTGCCTTTAAATTCTTTTTCAAAATATTTCAAAAGGAAAGACAGGCTGCATTTCATAAATAAGTGCGTTCTTTTGGGAACATTCAGAGGGTGACTTTTGGCTTTACTATGTTTAGTGTTTGGTTTGTTGTTTTGTAATTTTGTTAAAATGATTTCACAGACTACTTGCTTATATGTCTTGTCCATTCCACAAGTTATGTGTGTTGTATGCATTATGAATAGAGTCAAAGAAGAGTAACAAGAAATATGAGTCTACCTATAAACTTTTATTGTTCTCAGTCTTCGAAATTGAAGTACATGAATAGAAAAAAGCATAAACAGCACAGTTTATGTTTGCATTTCTGAAGATGTGAAGCAGTAGCCATGAAGTTTGTGTGTATTGCCAAAATATTTTATTTCCCAGGACATAGGGATATTTTTATTTGCCTGATGATTTGTGCTCCTTTCTGTGAATTGCCCACCCTTTGTTGAACATAGTTGTCTTTTGCAAAAGTGATGGCTTATTTGCAAGAGCTTAAGTATGAGGATGTTTATTTCCTCGGCAGTCCTGAGCTGCTCCTGTGTGCAAGGCACTTAACTAACGTGCAGAAATAGGCCGAGCAGTCTGTCCCCACCTTTGTGCACCTTACTTGCCAGTGGAGAAAGACAGCGAGTGTGATAACACAAACAGTCTTAGAGGGTGGTGCATGCTGTGTGAGAAGTGCGGAAGTCTAGGAGCGAAAGCAGGGAGGAGAGTGCTGTGCTACACAGGATGGTGAGGCTACACTGAGCTCCCTGACAGCATGAGTGGATTCGTGCAGTTAGTCCCACGCTCATCGGAGAAAAGAAGCTCTTTCCAGTACAGGAAAGAAGCAGCATACAAAATCTCTAGCACAGGAATCTGCCAGGTATATTCAGAGAGTGGCCATGAAGGCACTGACTGTTGTTAGCAAAAGAGAAGGAAAGTAGAAAATGCTGGGACCTAGAAATATTGTTTTCTGACACAGAGTCTGGCTATGTAGTTCATACTGGTCTTAAACTCACTGTTTAGCCCAGACTGGGCTTTAACTTGAGGTAATCCTCCTGCCTCAGTCTCCCAAAAAAGCAGAAAGCTTGCTCGGTAGTGCTGGGCAGGATGCGGGTGTTGATGGCAGGTTTATTTATGGAACTGATAAAATTCCTGACATTAAATGAAAAGTCAAGATTTCCTCATTATCCATCTGGAGACTCACATTTAGTAATATTTCTGTCTCTAACCTTTCCTTTTTTAAAAGTTTTGCACCCTATGTCAGTGGTTTTATCTTAAAAGCACAATAAAAGATCCTAGTAGAAACCAAAATGTTGTAGTTCAGATATTCTGATTGAATATAGTTTAAATTTTCCTTCAGATTACTTGAATGCAAGGAAATTTCACATTTAAAGAATGGTTAATCTCTGTTCTACTTCAAACTAAATCGTCCACATTTTTCCCCACTTGGCAACAAACTCTGATCATCACCACTAATTTAAGTCATGCTTGTGGACCAAGGGTCCTCCTCCTCCCCTGTTTTCCCCACTGCATCACGGTGTTTAGTTATTCACCGGCAACTGTGAACGAAAGCCTCCTCGCAGGTCCCTTCCTCCTTCTGAGGTCAGTGTGAATGCACACCAAAGAATGGGGCTGGGCAGCAAACATGACCTCTGCTATTCCCCACAGGGGCAAGCAGCAAAAGGTTAGGGTTGATTTATTACCCACAAAGTGTTGGGGGTTTTTTAAAGGACTACAACAGTTTTCTAATATGTGTTCTTTTTTATAATATTTTTATATAGCTGATATGGTCTGTATTGGCACTAATGCTATGATAGCCACAGTGCTGCACAATTGCATTTTAAAGCATCCCTTTGGTCAACTTGGAGGTAGCTTGTGGTTGTGTGTCTTTTAAATAGTCTAAATTCATTCCCTGTATTTTCCAGCTATAAATCCCGTGAGTCACAATGCTGTTAAAAAGAATCCAGATTTGTGATTAGTACAGTAATTGTATCAATCACTTGTAGCCTAGAAGTGTTTATTGAAATGCATGTATTAATACTTGATTTCATTTTAGAAGTTTGTCCCCTAATTCTGACTTAGTATAGTTTCCAAAACTACCTCCTTACATACATATTAACAGGAGTGCTAGCAGCAAAAACACCCTTGCCATCATTTTGTGTGGAGCTTCGATTAGATCTCATCCCATTCATCACTGCCTGCCTAACATGAGCCCTCCTTTGCAGCCTGTGACTCATGTTTGCTAAACACTGCATTCTGCTTTTTATGCTAACGTACAGCTCTAAATCTTTTAACATTTGCAGTCTTAAGCTTTTGATAAATTAGTTCCTCTGGGTAAAATCATTCAGAACACATGATATGGCACATCAAGATGACCTCAGAAGGCCTGTCCATTTTTTAAGAGAGGGATTTGTAAACTCATTGGTGATAATTTTTCTAGTCGCTTTATGTGAAGGATCCATCTGTGAAACATTCAAAGAATAAAAAATAAAGGTGGAACCCCTCGGATTATGAAACCATGGGAATTGTCAGTCAGTGGTTATGTCCTAGAGATTTATATAAACAGGAAGAAAAGAATGCTGCTTCCTCTATCTTTTACATTTTGAGAAAATTTGGAATAAGGCCTGAATAATCGGTGAATGTAAACTGGTCTCCATTCCTCTCGCCTCCCTCCCTTCCAGTCTGCCCCTTTCCACAGTGCAAATACCTTCCTCCTCCATGCAGAGCATAGCATTCGGGGACCCTTCAGAGGCTGTGGACGCAGCGCTGGCCCCACCCTGGTCCCAAACCTGACCTGGGAAGCCATCCTGGGAATCAGTGATCGCAACTGACTAACATCTCTGCAGGCCCGTGTCTGCTTTTTAATCCCCCTATTACAGTGTTACCGCAACTTACCTTCCCTCTCACCAACAAACTTCTAACTTTACTGATACCTGGAAA